ATATGTCCAGAATATTTTGTGTATACTTAGAATGTGCGTTTTCTCAGGTTTAACACTGCTTTTTGTGATGTAGGTCCATCTGCCCCCCTGGTGCCGTGATTTCTGTCCCCCTTTGTTGTGGGGCAATGTTGTGTTGGCCCCCTGGGTCAGCAAGTCTGATTCAGCTACTCCTCCCCGCCAGATTTGAGCCCCTACCCAGGTCCCACCTGCTGCAGGGAGATAAGGGCTTTATGACAGCCCTGGCTGGAGACCGTCTGGGCGCCCTCTCCCAGCTGTTACCCAGCAGAGCACCTTGGGGAGGGTGGGGCAGCCCACTTCCGGGGAGGGGGAGGGGAAGGGAGAAGGAAGTTGATCTAAACCCGCCTCTTTTTCTCTGTCTCCCTTCCTTCCCGTTCCCCTCCTGCCCCTTTCCTCCCACCTTGCTCCTGGGGTGGCTTCCTGGGACTGCCTGCGCTTCCTGGCCAGCAGGCCCAGGCCGTAAGAAGCCACGGGGCTGTGTCCCTCGGTGCTCTCCTCGCCCAGCCCGCTCTCTCTCTGCTAGTGGTGGTTTCGGTTGCGACACAGTCCAGGTTCCCAGGCAGGAGCCGCTTGGCCTGGCTGCTTCGCTCCTTTTCTCTGAGGAGGTGGTGGAAGGTGTCGCCTGCCTGGCTGAGTGAGGGAGGCTGGCCTAGCTGCCTGCCCCGCCCTGGGCCCGGCTCTTCCCGGCCTCTGTACTTTGCCCTCGCTGCCTGACAGCTCCTGCTTTGGGCTCTGCTGAATGGAAGTCGCTGGTAGTCCTTGTCCCTTCCAGACGGGTATGTTTTCCCTTTTTCCCTCTGGATTTGCCCCCTCATTCCTCTCCCACCCCAAACAGGATCTTTAAAGAATTGCTAGTGGAGCCAGGCATTAGCACAGGTAGTAAAATTCATGGGCTTCCAGAGGCATTGCCTAGAAAAGGAAGAGGGAGCACATAGCAGGAGAGCACCCCCCTACTTGAGTCTGCAGGCTTAACCAAGTGAGAGGAAGAGGCCAGCAGCAGGCAGAGGCCCACAAGGGCGTGCCGGCGTGCCGTGAGGGGAGACTGGCACCAGGGGCATCCCACAGTGCTTACTCTGCCCCCGGCCGGGGAATGCCAGCCTCTCACCCCTCCCAGCTTAGCCCCTTTCCAGCCCAGGGGAAACCTCAGGACTCTGGGGGTCAATCCAGAGTGCAGAGCCCCAACACACGAGCTTTCCTAGGGGCACAATGATAGGGGGAGCCTCCAGCATTAGGGAAGGGGCCCTGCCTACCTGAGTCAGCGCCCGGCTCTCGGGGTGGAGACTGTCTTCCGGGCGGGCCTGGCAGCAGGCCTGGGCCAAGTTCTGAGATCTCAGGTTGAAGGAGCCACTGAATCTAAGGCTCTTTTATCCGTTTTCTGTGTTCTCTCTCTATCAAGGACCCTGGAGCTGGGTAGGTCTGGCTTCTGAATCAGCCAGCTTCATAACCTGCAGCTGCTGCCCTTGGCTCCAAATCCTGCCTAGAGGGTGACCTATTAATCATTCAGGAGCCCCCTGAGCCCGTGGAGCCATCTTTGAGCAGACTATGGGGCCCACCTGGGGGGTGGTGTAGGCTGGGCCTTTGGGAATGCCTGGGCTTCCATGTCTCACCGTGAGCAAGGAGGAAGGTCTTACCCTGCTGGTATGACCCAGGTCCCGGCAGAATGGGCCTAGACAGAACCCCAGAAAGGAGTCTTCCCTAAGAGCCAGCCTCATCCTCACTTCTCTTTGGTCTTGCAGAAGCCGCTGTGCTTAGGACCTAGGTCTAAGCAGCGTCTTCTGTTGAAGGCGCTCTCATTCCCAGCTTCCTCCCCCCGGGCTTCCCTTGCCCCCTCCCACATCCCTGATGTGAAAAGCATCTTGCAACACAGATGAAGCAAAGGGGGTGAGAGAAGGACCTGGGTGCCCTGCATCCTGAGACTTGATGCTTCCTCCGGAAAGGGGATTGCCTGACTTGTGCAGCAGGGGATCAGAGCGCAGGCGCCATCCTCCTGCCTCCCTGGTCTGACTCGGACCGCAGAGCCTTCTCGTCACTGTCCAGTGGACACAGCCTGGACACAGCCCTTCGCCGCTGCCCAGTCTGGCTCCCAGCTCCCCGGCTTCCCCGCCTGTGAAGCCTAGGGTCCTGGTGGAGCCGGGGAGGGTGCCCGATGCTTGGCCCGGACCCCTCTCCAGCAGGAGGGCTCATAGCCCCTCTTGTCGGCCTCCATCTGGGCTGCATCTGGATTCGGAGGACGCGGCGTAGAGCCGCTGTCTGATGGCTACAGGAGCTGGGGCTGTGTGGACAGGGGCAGCAGTGGGGACGACAGCTCTGGAGCGGGATCGGGACAGAGCATCGTACACAGGTCCCCTTACCTGTCCAGCGTGGACTGGGGATTATTTACTCACCATTTACGCAAGAGACTCGTGCTAATGAGTGGTGAGAGCCAGGACTTGGCCCAGGGGCAGCCCCCGGCTTCACGTGTAGGGGCCCTGCACGAGTTATCTTTTGGGTGGTTTCCTTCACCCTTTGTCATAGCCTCCCCTCCTCCTTAAGGAGCCTTTGGGAATCCAACATCACTCCTTAAGGGTGATGTTGATAATGATGGAGTGAGTGTGTGTTGAGTAGGCAACAGATTTAGGGTTTGAACCCAGGGAGTTTGTCTTTGGCATCTGCACTCTTCACCACGCCCCTCTACCTCGGAGGAGGAAAGAGGCGGGCACAGCACCTCTCCTGGTCTTTGAAGCCCCCCATGCAGGGTTGTGGTCCTTGAGCCAAAAATACCTAGGGGGGCAGCACAGAGAGAAGATTCAGGAGGACAGATAGTTGGAGTCCCACGCTTGGCTTCAGAGGGACAAGGGGCCCAAATCCTCATAGACACTGAATCCCTATTCCAGGCTTTGTGTCCTCGGAGAAGAGAGTGACAAGAAACCTAGGAGATGAATTAGAGTTTGTCAGAAAAAGGTCGCCCACCTTCCCATGTGGGGTGGGGCAGAGAGAGGTCTTCCTGTCTGTGACCTGAGGCAGGCCGCCAGGGTGCTAGGCACTTGGAGGGAAGCGGGAGCGCAGGGGAGGTCGGTCACAGAGGCCAGGCCTTCAGGCCCTTGGGAGATGAGCCTCGGGTGCCCTGGAGTAGGGTGACCTGAATTTGACACCAGCAGGGTTCAGAAAAGCCCTTCTTGCTGAGGGGCGTGAACCCTGGAGTTCCTTTGGAGGGGGTGACAACCAAGTATTTGAAACTCTTTGGTCTAGCAAACCCTGTTGAGGACCAGGCAGGCTCAGGTGGCTACAGAGTGTGGAGAGCAGGTGGCCTCTGCAGCCTGGATTGACAGGCATGGGCACTGGGACTAGACGTGGACGTGATGGTTGTTGAGGACGGCAGCGGAAGGGGTACTCCCTGAACGAGGAAGGAGGGCAAGAGGCTCTTCTCAGAGGTCAGGGACCTCCCTGCAGGGTCTGCCATGGCGAGGGCATCTGTTCTCCTCAGAGGGCCAGCCCCACATGCTTACGGCATCTGAGTCAAACAGCTCACCCCAGTCTGCCCACAGCCGCTCTGCGAAGAGAAGAGGGCCTTGCGTTGACAGCAGGAAGAAGGGAGCGGGATACTTACTTTCTCTTGTTGTTTTTCTGCCTGAAAAATGTCTTGCCAGGGAACCCTGGACAGTTCCTTGGGCCTTAACAAGTCCTTCCTTTCCACTGTGAATTTGAGGGCTTCACTTAGAGCCAAAAGGGCTATGAGAGGGCGACCTTTCCATCACATGCCTCTGGCAGCCCTGCCCCCCAAGACTCTCTTTTTGACCTTCCTGGGCAGTTCGGAGTGGGGCTCGGGCAGTACTTGGGGCCAGGATGCTGGAGCCATCTTGGCGTGGGGTCCCGACAAGAGACCAGACTTAGCAATCTCATTGAGATGAAATTCAGACAGCGGGTAATTCACCCACGGAAGGCACAGTTATGTGGCTTTTAGTGAATTCACAGAGCAGTGCACGCACCGCATCAATATTTCATTGGCGTGTTTTCACTACCTGGGCTCCCCGAGCTTTCACCCCCTCGTCCCCTCGCCGCCTCCACCCTCCTCAGCCCTCGACTGGCCTTTCTGTCTCCGTGGATTTGCCTGTTCTGGACACTACGGGCCAGTGGAGTCAGGCGCCGTGTGATCCCCTGTGGCTGCTACACTTGCCGCCGTGGGGCTCATGCGCGTGGAGCAGGCGTCGGCGTTTCACCCCGTCTCTGCTGGGGGTGCCCCACAGGGTGGGCTTTCCAAGTGGCCACTCACTCACTCTCTGAACTGTAGTGAGTGGCCGTGGCTATTTGGGTCCGGGGCGTGCGTCTCCGTGTCGTTGACGAGCTGCCTGGAGTGGTATTGCCAGGCTGCCAGCAACCCTGGGCTGGGCCCTGCAAGGTGTGTGCAAGTCTTGGCGCCCACCGAGGCTTTTGTCTGGGCCTTCTCCTTTTGGTGCCCCCTTCAGGACTGGCGTCGTCATTTCCCTTTCCTCACGCCCTTCTTTGAGCTGGGGGCTCGCCCTCGCTCAGACCCTGTGGTTCAGTCCATTCTTTGCGCGTCAATGAGGGTGACGAACAGTGAAGGAGACTGGGAGGCATTGTTGGGGTGGGGGGCGCACTTTGAGGCGATTCTGATCGTGTTGCTCCTGCGACCTGGCTTCGCAGCCCGTGGACAGGCATCAGGAGAACAGCAGCTTCGGGGAGGCAGTGCTGGGTGGCAGTGCTGGGCTGTTAACGGGTCTGGTGCCACCGGGCGGGGTAGCCAGGGATGGACAGCTCAGGTCCGCAACTCCACTGTCCACAGGACACCAGGCTCCTTTAGAGGGAAGACTGGCTCTCTTCTCATCCCCTCTCCCCCCTCTGCCTTGCGATTCTGGGCATGCCTGCTGGCCCCCTGAAGTCTGTCCCTATACTCCAGCCTCTTCGATGTCTGCAGAGAGCTGAGGGCAAGGGGTTGGGGACTGACTGGCGGTGAGCTTGAAGGTGCCCGTGTCTCCACCCCGCAGCCCGCCCTGGGACACCTCGACTCCAAGCCCAGCAGTAAGTCCAACATGCTGCGGGGCCGCAACTCGGCCACCTCTGCTGACGAGCAGCCCCATATTGGCAACTATCGACTCCTCAAGACCATCGGCAAAGGTAACTTTGCCAAGGTGAAGCTGGCCCGGCACATCCTGACCGGGAAGGAGGTGAGCACTGGGGCTGGGACATGGACACGCAGCCTTTCCCAGCCGTCACTGCCCTGCGGGCAGGGGTGGGACTGCCGTCCCAGTCCATCTCTTGTCTGTCAGGTGGAAATGAGGTCCAAGCAGTAGGGACACTGAGGCAGGGGGACAGGGCGAACATAAAGCAGGAAGTCGATGAGCATGCTGTGTTTAACCCGGTCAGAGGTAATCTTGGGCTTTTTGTCTCACGTCCAGGTAGCTGTGAAGATCATTGATAAGACTCAACTGAACTCCTCCAGCCTCCAGAAAGTAAGTGCACAGCCCCTCCCGTTCCTTTCTAAACTTTTTTTAGGGGTCAGTGATCTACTGACCCCATTCATACTTCTCTTGAATCCCTGGTTTATGGTCTCTGGTCATTCACTGTCTCTTCTCTCTCCGTGGCTCCGTTACCTTTTGGGCTTTGGGTGGACCCCCTGGGTTCACTCCTTACTGGGCTTCCTGGCCACAGGCCCTGGCTCTTGAATGGCCGAGCTATCTGACCTGCTTCCCGCATTCGTTATCTTCTGGCCCCTGGCCAGTCCAGTGCAAAAACACGCATTGGTAGCACATGCAGCTCCTCCTGGATCCTGCGCCCGCTCCATTTCAGAGAATGAGTCCAGAAGCCTGGTTCCTGGAAGCCACACAGGCGGCCCCCAGCCCTGGCAGCATGCAGGTTAAGAACTGCTTCCTCTCCCCGGCTTCTCTTGCCAGCTTCTCTTGCCTGGAAGTTACCAGGTCATTTGCACATACTCTTTGCTAAATGAGGTTGAACCCTTCCTGCCCTCCTTGACTTGGATGGGAACCTGAGGTCTTACACAGCTGACTGGGGAGTCCTCCAGGTAGGAAGACATAACCCCACCTCCAGAAACTAGGCAAGGCTGGTAGGAATGAGCCTTTGCAGAAGGCTTGCCTGTGACGGCTATTGTCGGTCTGGAAGCTGTCTGCCGCTCCCCCACCCTGGGCGCCAGCATTTCGGGGAAGGAGGAAATCTCCCATCTGGCTTCCAAAAAGTGCCCCTCATCGGGCCAGTCAGATGCCTGTGCCCTCTGCTCCAGCTGATCGTGGCTCAGATTTTCTGAACTTGCTCAGCCCAGTTTTCTTCTTGTGGCAAATTGCAGTTTTCTCTCTACAAGCATTTTGTTACTCAGTTCAGGAGGGATACAGCCTCATGCCCACAGAACCACCATGGAGAGACTGGCCGGCTCCGTGGCTGTCAGCAAGATTGCTGTTCATAGAACAAGAGGCTGTGGCGGGGGTGCGCTGACACACTGATGGCCAGCACCAAGGTGTTTCCGGTTTTCTGTTACCCCCCGGGATCCCCTCAAGGTTCTTGAGTTCAAAGGAAACTCTGCTGTCATCACCAGGGCTTCCCTACTTGGAACTTTCTGGAAGCAAGGGACAGGGCTATTCTTGACTTACTGGCTCAGATCCCATGGACTAGAACTTGGGGTGGCTATAGGCCTCTGGAACATTTCAGCCTGCCATCATCAAAACTGCCTGGCCAGCCCATTTCCCACCTTTTTTCACCTTGCCTTTTTTTTTAATATGATTTATTTATTTATGCATACAAAAGCTGGGGTGTAGGGCAGAGGTGTGTGGGGCAGAGAGGATTCGCCAGAGACAGTGTGTGGAACACAACAGGCAGATCTACTGAAATACACTGCTGAGGGGAGCAGCGGGCGAGACAGGAGAGGTCTGCTGCACCATGTGGGTTGCTCCCTGGCTGGGGATCAAACTCAGGCCGCAGTGGCTACCGATAGCTTCATAGTGCTGAGACTTAACCCCTTGCACCACCAGGGAGGTCCCTCACCCTGCCTTTCTTCCTGACTGTCTGGAAGGCACACTGCCACATAAATGTAGCCATTTTTTTTTTTTTTTTTAAGATAGATTTATTTTACTTATGCATACAGATTTAAAGAACCGGTTGGCCAGATGTGCAGGACAGGCCAGATGTACAGAGATGAGGAGGGTGAGAGGATCCACCAGAGATGGAGCGGGGAACAGAATAGGCAGACTGATGAAATACACTGCCGAGGGGAGTAATGGGCAAGACAGGAGAGGTCTGCTGCCCCATGTGGGTTGCTCCGAGGCCGGCAGGGATTGAAGCAGCACTGCAGAGGCTGCGGGCAGCTTCACAGCGTGGCACTTAACCGCCTGCGCCACCAGGGGAGGCCCAAATGTAGCCATCTTAAGAGACTTTTAACACACACTATCCAGAGGCAGTCTGACTGTGGCCAGGTCACACTTGTCCAACTGGGCGAGAAGTGAAGAAGCAGCCCCTTCAAGGTTAGGGGGAGCCTGGCGAAGCACATTCTCCAGGAAAGTCCACTTCCAGGCCAGGAGGGTGTCCTCAGGGCATGCAGGCAGCTGCCTCTCGGGACTCATTTCAGTGCTGCTCTGTATTACTGCCCCTTAAGGTGTGTCCAGGGGTTTTTGCCCTTTCATCCAAGACAACTGCTGGGCCAGGAGAGGGAGTGAGTGTCTGGACCAGGTTCCTCATGGGTGGGGACCTGGCTCACGAGAGCTGTGGCTCCTCGATACATGGGAAAATGCTTTCACTTTATTCCATAAACTGGATCCTGAACTAGGTCTGCAGACCCCCAATCTCCCAAAACAACAATTCTGCTCTTTGTGCAAGTGGTGAGGTCTGGAAGTTAAAAAAAAAACAAAAACAACAACCTTCCAGTTCTCTGGCCCCCGCAGAGGGGATGGAGTTCATTTCTGTCATCTTTCTTTATGGAAATACATGGTTTGGAGCCCCTGGTTTTGTTTCACAAAGAGAGCGTGAGTGTGTGGAGGTGGATTTGATTAAAATTGGCATCAGCTATATATAGGAGTGGCTTCTTCTGTCACCACCCTGGAGGCCCAGGAGAGCTCTGACTTCAGTAAATCAGAAGATGATGGGGTCCCCCTTCAGGAAACCCCCAGCCCTTTGCACCGACCAAGCCAGAGTCTGTTTTGTCACTGAACTTTCAAAGCAGCTCAGGCCCTGAATATTCATGAACATGGACTCACACCATCCCTTACAGAGGCCCCTGCCCCAAACCCAGCTGCTGTTTGGGGGCCTGATTTGGGTAACCTGCAGCAGAGGTGCTCACTCCCCTGCTCGGCCACCTCGGAGGGCAAGGATGAGCTGGGCAGCTGTCCTGTTTCTCTTCCCTGCCCATTGTCTCCTGAAGAAAGCGTCCTAGCAGTGGTTCACTGAGGGAGCAGGGTGAGCAGGCATGACCCCCTGCTATTTTATTTTTCAGCTCTTCCGTGAAGTAAGAATAATGAAGGTTTTGAATCATCCCAACATAGGTGAGAACCAGTTGTCACTCCTGTCTTCTCCCCACGCAAGACTGCACTCCCCAGCATGCCCTTCTTCCCCGGCGTAGTGCCCTCTCGAGTCAGGCCTTCAGGGTGGCTTCGGGGGAGCCCAGCTCTTAGTCCAGCCCTGCCTCTCTCCTGGGAGGGTGGAGCGAAAGCAGGAGACTTCCATTTCCAGGATGCCCCTGGATATTTTGGGGCTTGATGTGGGACCCCAGCTACTTCTCTGACTATATCACTTGCCCATTTCTCTTACAGTTAAATTATTTGAAGTAATTGAGACTGAAAAAACACTTTACCTTGTCATGGAGTACGCAAGTGGAGGTAGGTACAGACCTGCCCATTCCAGCTGCACCCCCTTGCACCCCAACCCCAGCCAGCTCTGACTTCCGCCCTGCCTGTCTCTTGCAGGAGAAGTATTTGATTATCTAGTGGCTCATGGCAGAATGAAAGAAAAAGAAGCTCGGGCCAAATTCCGTCAGGTGGGTGTGCTCCCCCCCAGCGTCTGGGGGACCTCTGCCTTCTGGGATTTGGCCTGCAAGGAGGAGCTGCCTGTCTGTCAGTGCCCTTTGGAGAATCACTTGGGCTTTGCGTATCTGTGTGTCAGCTCAGAGCCAGGCCACAGGTCACAGGGTCCCCCTCAGGTGCCCCTGGGCTAACCCTCCTTCCTTCCTTTCAGATAGTGTCTGCTGTGCAGTACTGCCACCAGAAGTTCATCGTCCACAGAGACTTAAAGGTAAGTTTGACTCTTGACCCTGTGTCTTTGGGTTGGGTTGCTCTCCATTAATTATGACCATCAGGCCCTGAAGGGGCAAGGAAACTCCAGCCTTGAATTTTTTGAAATGATGAGGATGCTCCTCGGGCCTCTTATGTACTTACTCCCTGGGAAGACTTGGGGTCCCACCCCATCTGGTGTCCCGAAGACCTGCCATTTCACCCATTGGCGCGTCACTTTGTGGGGCTGCCCTGTGCAGCAGGAGCGCTGCCACTGGCTCTGTGGCTGACACATGGCCTGCGGGCTGTTCCACAGCTGCACCCCTGCTGCTTAGCAGTCATGCGTGCTCACTGGGTCTCTGGTTGTTAGAGTGTGAGGCTGCCTAAGAGTCTCCTGGCCCCTGAGTCCTCACAGACGTGACCATGATTAACCTGGGCCTGACTCGAAAGCTTTGTGGCACTCACGGTGTCTGAGCCTTCAGCTCCCAGCACCACGTGGCCACCTGAGTGAGCAGTGGCCTCTGCTGCGCTCCTCCAGCCCAGCCTGGTCATGCTGATTGAAGGCCAGCCTTGGACTTTGGGGAGAAAGTACCAAGCCTGGGGATGATTTCCTGTTTGCTCTCCCATTCCGTCACCTCTTTCTGTCCAATGCCTACATGTGATCCATTTGGAAAAATGGATCCATCCCCGGCATTTTCCATCTTACCTTCTAGGCAGAAAACCTGCTCTTGGATGCTGATATGAACATCAAGATTGCAGACTTTGGCTTCAGCAACGAATTCACCTTTGGGAACAAGCTGGACACCTTCTGCGGCAGCCCACCTTATGCTGCCCCAGAGCTCTTCCAGGGCAAAAAATACGATGGTCCCGAGGTGGACGTGTGGAGTCTGGGAGTTATCCTGTATACACTGGTCAGCGGATCCCTGCCTTTTGATGGACAGAACCTCAAGGTGGAGTGAAGTGCAAACTTAGCTCATGTTAATTACTCCTCATTTCCTCTCTCAGCCTGGTCTTATCCCTGACCTCTCACCCTTGCCACCTCTACATTTTTCCCGCGCCTGCACTTCAAAGGAGAGCTTACTAAAGGTGGCAGCAGTTGAAAGGCCCTCTGCATCCAGTGTAATCACATCAGGTCTTTCCTCGAGAGCTGGCAGCCTCGGACTGGTCAAGCCAGAGGGCGCGGGGCACTTGACATCGCCGCCTTCTGGGGAGGTGCCTTGTCCCAGGCCCTCCGCCTCCTACCTTATTTCACTTTCCCCTGCCTGGCCAGTCAAGCTCTCAAGATCCTGGATATCAGCTTTCTTCCCTTGGCCTTGGGGTGACTTAAATTTTCCTCCTACAGGAGCTGCGGGAGCGGGTACTGAGGGGAAAATACCGTATTCCTTTCTACATGTCCACGGACTGTGAAAACCTGCTTAAGAAATTTCTCATTCTCAATCCCAGCAAGAGAGGCACTTTAGAGGTGAGCAGCTTGGAGGCCTGCTGGCTGGACTGTCCTGGGTTCTCAAGGACACCTCCAGGCTGAGCCATCTCCTCTGCCCTTCCCTTCCCTTTGCTCCCCAGCAAATCATGAAAGATCGATGGATGAATGTGGGTCACGAAGATGATGAATTAAAGCCTTATGTGGAGCCACTCCCTGATTATAAGGACCCTCGGCGGACAGGTGAGGCTGTGCTGGCCTATGAGACTGAGTGGGCCTAGGACTCAGGACCGGCCTTAACTGTGTGTCCCCTCTGCAGAGTTGATGGTGTCCATGGGTTACACACGAGAAGAGATCCAGGACTCGCTGGTGGGCCAGAGGTACAACGAGGTGATGGCCACCTATCTGCTGCTGGGCTACAAGAGCTCTGAGGTGTGTGCTCCCCGCTCTGTCCCCTCACCTGGCCAGCTCACTGCCAGCGGCACCCCGTGTGCTTTCTGTGAAGCCTGGCTCTGGTGGCGAAGGTCCTCTGGCCTTTGCTCTTACCGATCTCCCTCAGTGAAGGGAGAGCTGGTGGGCCCTGGGCCTGGGGGTCCTTATGGGTGAGTAGACCCAGCTGGGTCTGTGTTGGATAGACTGGGAATTGGTTGGCCTCGCTATGTTGGGTGTATGCGTCACTCTCTCTATCCGGAAGCGTTTGTGGGTTCATGCATCCCGTGTCTTTCTACAGGCATCGTGGGTCTGTGTGTTGCATCTGTCTAGTGCTTGTGTGTGTGTGTATGCCCATCCTCCTGTCTGAGACCCTGGTTCTTCCGCCTGTCCCAGGCAGCCATATCTGAGTCCAAAGTCAAACGTCTCAGTGGAAATGCACAGTTGTCCAGTTGTGCATTGTCCCCACGTGCCCCCAGGGCCTCCGCACTGTGTTGCCCCGCTGGTGGTATTGGCCTCCCTCTCTTGGTTCTAACTGTAGCCTGCTCAGGAGTATCTGGTAGGGGTGGGGTGGTCTGTCTGTGTGCTTTCTTGTGGGTCTGTGTGCATTCTTGTATTTCCCTTTGGCTGGGGTGGGGGTCGTCTTTGGCAGTGTTTATCAGGGCCTCTGTCGGGGGTCTCCGGGAGTGAGGTGCACCCTGGACTTGCAGGAGGCATGTCTCTTGTGAGCCTGGGGTGGCTTAGTGTTAGAGCAGGGCATCGGTCCCCACATATCTCGGCTTAACTGTGCCCTCCCTTTTGTCTCCTGCAGCTGGAGGGCGACAACATCACCTTGAAGCCCCGGCCTTCCGCAGACCTGACCAACAGCAGTGCTCCTTCCCCCTCCCACAAGGTGCAGCGCAGTGTCTCCGCCAACCCCAAGCAGCGGCGCTTCAGCGACCAGGGTAAGTGCTTCGGGCAGCGACAGGAGGCCAACTGTCCCCCTCTCTCTGGGGACATTGTTGATGCAGCTGAGTTTATGAGCAGCACAGCCTTGGACGAGTCTCTTAGCTTCCCTTTGTGAACTGGGGTCTGCTAGGTTGCTGGTAAAGCTGTAGGAGAGCCCTGGCGCGCAGTGGGCCTGTCCTACCTTCTTAGCCCTCCCCCTCTGTCCCTGCAGCTGGTCCTGCCATTCCCACCTCTAATTCCTACTCTAAGAAGACTCAGAGTAACAACGCAGAAAATAAGCGGCCTGAGGAGGACCGGGAGTCCGGGCGGAAGGCCAGCAGCACAGCCAAAGTGCCTGCCAGCCCCCTGCCTGGCCTGGAGAGGAAGAAGACCACCCCTACCCCCTCCACGGTGAGCCTCGCCAGTCCTCCCTCCCTCAGCCAGCAGCCCCGGTCCTGAGGTCCTCCCTTGTACTCTTGCTCGGGGCCGCCCTCCCCGCCTGCGGCTCTTTTCTTAATCCACACAGGGCTGCCTTGGGTGCCTACCTGACCTGCTCTGGGGGCTACTTGTGCTGACTGTCGAAAGCCTGGCCCCCAAGAGTAAAGGCAGAATCCTTTATCTTGCCTGCCGACGGCAGAGGGGAAGCGGTCTCTGCGAGCCCGCCTCTGCGGCCCGCCTGTAGACGTTTCCTTTTCTGTGACACAGCTGTGCCCTTTGCTCCCCACAGAACAGTGTCCTCTCCACCAGCACAAACCGAAGCAGGAATTCCCCACTTTTAGAGAGAGCCAGCTTGGGCCAGGCCTCTATCCAGAATGGCAAAGACAGGTGAGAATCCTTGGCCCTTCGGCCATGCACCCTGAGAGCCACCTGGCACAGCACCCCCTGCTTCCTGGAGTTCCGTCCTGGCTCTGTCTGGTCCAACTTTCCACACCCACACCCCTCGCCCTCCCCTCCCCCCCCACCCCCACCCCCGCCGTCTCCTGCCCCCTGTGCTCCTGTGACCACTCCCCCAAGGTGTGGTGTGCTGACTGTGAGACTCCTGGTCATCTCCGCTCCCTTCTTGCTTCTCCACTGCAGCCAGGGCGTGACCATGTGCGCCCTTCGGCCTCAATGCCAGGGGCTTGGTTTTTGGGGCCCTGGCTCAGGGCAGAAGGAAGGGTACACAGCAGAGTGACTCCAGCCATACCCCTCAGAGCAGAGCTACCCTCACCTTGACCATCAACAACCCAAGTACTGGTTTCTGCCTCCACCTCTCCTGAGCTGAAAACTTTTAACAGCACCCTGCTCTCTGTCAAAGAAACACTCTTGTTCTCAGCACTCCTGGGAGACCAGCACAGCCCAGAGGGGGCCGTCTGTCAGCTTGCCCGAACTTAGGCATCCTCCCGTGGACTGCGGCCTCCCTGCCTCCCCTGCACTCTGCTTCCCGGCCCTGCGCCTGCATCCCCTTGCTGCTCCCCAGCTCTCCCTGCCCTGCCCTGGCTTCCTAACCCAAACCTCCCACCCCCACCACCCCTAACCCAGGCCTTTCCGCTGCTTTTGTCTCCTAGCCTAACCATGCCAGGGTCCCGGGCCTCCACGGCTTCTGCTTCTGCCGCAGTCTCTGCGGCCCGACCCCGCCAGCACCAGAAATCCATGTCGGCCTCCGTGCACCCCAACAAGGCCACTGGGCTGCCCCCCACGGACAGTAACTGTGAGGTGCCGCGGCCCAGGCAAGTGTGCTGGGGCAGTGGCCGCACCTGCTGCCCTCAGCCTGCCCACCCCTTGCCCACAACAGTTTCTTCCCACTTGGGGGTCCTGCTCTGTTCTTGTCCTCAGCCATAAGAATTGACTCTGGCCCCTGCAGCTAGGAAGTGGAGGGAACAGAAAATAGCTTAATGTCCCTCTTTTCCTCCAGTTCTCCCTCTCAGAACAGATATGCCAGAAGCCGTCCCGAGGCTCCAGGAGGAAGCCTTTTTGTTCTGAGCCTTCCTGGACTTCCTTAGGACCCCGGGGACAGTCAGCATCACAGGGACTCAATCCTTGAGGGTTGGTCAACCTTGTCCCCTTGAGGTTCCAGTTTGCCTAGCTCCCAGGAGCCACTTCTTTCCAGCCTGTACTGCTCTCCACACACGTGTCCTTCCTCGCCTCCTGCCTCCCCCAGACCATCTCCTTTCCTTCACCGGAGTCCTCCCCATGTCCTCGGTGGTCACACCCTTCCTTCTGTGTCTCCGTGATGGCTGCCTCCGCGCTAGCACCCCCTCCCTGTGCCTGGCCAGGGCGCCCCGGTGCTCTGATGATGCCTGGCTTGTGCCCTGATGCATTGCCCCCGTGCCCCATCTTTTCCCACAGTACAGCCCCCCAGCGTGTCCCTGTCGCCTCCCCCTCCGCCCACAACATCAGCAGCAGTGGTGGAGCCCCAGAACGAACTAATTTCCCCCGGGGTGTGTCCAGTCGAAGCACCTTCCACGCAGGGCAGCTCCGACAGGTGCGGGACCAGCAGAATCTGCCCTATGGTGTGACCCCAGCCTCTCCCTCTGGCAACAGCCAGGGCCGGCGGGGGGCCTCTGGGAGCATCTTCAGCAAATTCACCTCCAAGTTTGTACGCAGGTGAGTAGGGGGCTTAGTGTAGCACAGAGCCTGAGGCTAGGTCCTCCTACGGGGCGTGGGGAATACCCTGAACTGGAGGTTTCCTGGGTTAGGAGAGGCCTGGAAGCCTAAGAAATTGGGTCCTCGTCAGAATCTTTTATGCCAGACCCATCCTCTCAGGCCTCTCCCCAACTCCTGTACACACCCCTCGTTCATTCTCTGGCCCCAAGCAGATGGCCTGTGCCGCCTCCTCTAGGAGAGTGTGAACTCAGATGCTAAAATAAAAGCCCCCTCTTCTCTCCTGGGTTCCCATGGAAACTTGTATTTGGTGACGCAGCTGCAAAGTCATGAGGCATGAGCCAGGCTGGGCCAGCAGGGAGTTTTTTCCTGGTCCTGTGTCTTCCCCTTTGACCCACCCCACAGTGGGTCGTGTCTGCTGCCGCCATGTTCTTGAGCCCAGGTTGCCAGGATGAAGGCCGTACATGAACCAGCGGGTGGGGCCCAGGGCAGCCGCCTCCTGCACAGCCTGAATCCCTGAGGCTCTCCTGTGTGGGAGCGAGGGTGGGCACTCTTCAGGGGCTTTCTCGCACCTGGCCCCTGACCACCCAGGGGCCAGCTCTGATTCTCCAGGTGCCCTCAGCCATGTGGCCTCTGGCTGCTCCCTGTCTCCATCCTTCTGCTTCCTCCACTGCCTCAGTGGAGCCCCGGAAGCAGCAGGGGGCTTTTGGGTGGGTTTGTCGGCTCTTCCTCCTGTGCCTCCCTCCACTCAGCTGGAGTCGCCCAAAACCCAGCCCCTGTGCAGCCCAGGGACCCAGGCTCCGGGCTGGCCGCTGGGTGGGGCGGGAGCAGGTCGGGCTGTCTGTGGCTCTAGTCCCGCTGAGCGGCTCTTTCACAAACGGGGTGACCTTTGAACCTATAAAGCCCACTCCCTACCTGCTTATCCACATACCGTCTTGTTGGTTTTTTTTATTTCTTTTTTTATTTTGTCTTTTTTTGTTTGTTTTTTTAGAAATCTGTCTTTCAGGTTTGCCAGAAGGTAGGCGTTGAGCCCGCTGTGTGTGTGTGTCTGTGTCCCGTGTCCTGTCTCTCTCACTAACTCCTCTTCTGGCTCTTGCTCCCTTCCCTATCTGCTAACCACGTCTGTGTGGCCCTCTCTCTGCCATCTTAAAGGGATGAAGACTGGGCAGCAGTTGGGGACCATGTTGGCCCCCTCAGGGCAAGTGGCTTTGACAATGACAGGAAATTCTCCCTTTAAGATTGTCTCCCCCACCCTCACCCTGGGTTTGGTCACAAGTCTTGGGTTCCTTTTCTGAGCCTCTCTGCTGTCTGTGCATGTGCTGTGAAGAGACTCTCTGGGACTGAGAGAGCTCGGGGATGGTGTCTCATTCTAGGTCTCCTGGGTTTCCCCTTCTCTCCTTCCACCTCAGGGCTGTGTGTCCTCTGGGATGGCAGCACTTCGGAGGCACTACAGGGACACTGGGGTCCCAAGGCTTCCACCTGATGCCTCCAGGTCCAAGGAGCTTTTTGCATCAGGAGTGGGGCACAGCACCCCCTTCTGGCAGCTGCTACCAGACTGGGCACGCCCTACCCCCATCCAGTGCACCTCCTGCCTCCAGCAGGAGCAGGGCGTCCCTGGACTGTGCACGGCCTCTGTGCCTGTGGCGCCCAGAGAGCTAGGAACTGGGATGTTTCAGGTCTGGGTTGGCCACTCCTGACCCTGGCGAAAAATGGGAGCCCCCCCTGACTCAGGCATCTCCCTTCCTGAGCTGGATCCTGCCTCTTCCAGCCCTGGCCCTACTCTCATCCTCCCCAGAGGTCTGGGTGGGCCAAAGACCAAGCCGAAGACCAAGGGCCAGGTCAGGAGCACTGGTTCCCTGAGGCTGTCCTCCCGGACCCTGCGTGGGGGCTGAGGCATCTGGGAGGCACACTGGGGCCCCACTGACAGAGCAACAGCCAGGGCAGGGTCTTCCGACTTTCCCCTTCCACCCACTGCTCCCCACCCAGCTCCTCGCCCGCATGGCTGGCTGTTGACTCACAGGGCCCCAGTGGGGCCTGCCCTGCAGGAGCCTCCACCCACAGGGCAGGAGCCAGGTGGGGCTGGAGAGATCAGCCAGGCTCCTCCCCGGCACAGCCCTCCTCCCTGCTCGCAGCGCACTGGTCTGCATCCGTGTGTCTGGTGTGTCTCGTGTTCCTTTTCCATGTGCTGCCGCTGCGCTCTCTCTCCTCCTCGCCTCCCTGCTGTCCTCAGCAGTCCCCGGGTTCCCGCTCCAGGCACCCATCTTCCAGCCAGGAGCTGGAGCAGCCGCTCAGCGGGGCCAGACCTCTTCCCCACCCACCCTCTGAGGTGTCTGCCCTGCCCTGCCCGCCACCCTCCCTTCTGTGCAAGCAGATGGCCTGGCAGCCTGGCAGGCAGGGGGTTATAAAAGAATGGGGGAGGCGGGCCTGTCTGCAGCTGGCCTCAGGGCCCTGCTCCTTCCCACCCCTCCCCAGGCACTCTCAAAGCGATGCCGCTCTTGGCCCTTTCTGCCTCCTAAGAGAGGCCTCTGTCCATCCCTCAGCCCCTTCCTTCCCAGAGGACTCCAGTGCTGAGGCCCTGGTCACTGGAGCAGAAGACCCAGCAGTCACAGGGTCACTGTGTGGGAGGCGCTGGTGCAAGGCAGTGCGCATGTGCACATCCGTGCCCTCCAGGCGCAGAGCTCCCTCTCCCCAGCACAGATCTGCTGGGGGTGTGGGGAGGGGCGGCCGAGGGCTGGGCTCCTGTCACAGGCCTGCAAAGCTGCCAGTGGGTGGCGCCGCACAGCCGTGAAGGGCAGGGGCCCGTGGGCTTGGGCCTGGGCCCGCCCACCCAGCGGCCGCACCTCCTGGGACCCAGCCTCACCTGGGTTGGTGGCAGCGCAAGGAGCGAGAGGTCCCAGCACTAAACTCTCCCTCGCTCTGTTTTTTGAGGAACCTGAATGAACCTGAAAGCAAAGACCGAGTGGAGACGCTCAGGTGAGAGGGCTGGAGCCAGCCCCGGCCCGCCCGAGCCGCCTGCTCCTCTCTTCCTTCTGCCGCCTGGCTCTTCCTGCTCCGCCCTGTCCCCAGCTCTCGGGGCTCCCTTTCCCTAGAGGAGCCCCCCACCCCCCACTGAAGTAGGTGTGGGCCCTTCTCAGCCTTGGTGTCTTCTGGCAACAGGAGCCCTGGGCTGGGTGGTGGGGACTGGCCACCCGCTCACCTGTCTGTGCCTCAGCCCTTCTTTCTGTCCAGCCAGCGCTGCTCAGGGCCATGGCGCGGGGCACCCAGTTCTCCCTGGCCTCCCCCTCCCCAAAGGAAAGCAGCGCTGGCTTCCCCCCTGCTGGGGCTGGTGCTCCTGCCTTCTCTGGGGCCTTCTCTGCTCACTGGGGAGGTCGCAGGATGGCCGTCCGCCTCCCCCCCCACCCCCCCAGTCTGAGCTCCCTCTTCCAGCCTGTGCCTCCCGGGCCGCCTCCCACACTGCACTCTGGTCTCCGCGTCCTGCTGCCCGGGGGGGCTCTCCCACGGGGGTGCCTCTGCCCCACCTGACTGTCGCCTCTGCCCTCTCCTCAGACCTCACGTGGTGGGCAGCGGCGGCAATGACAAGGACAAGGAGGAGTTTCGGGAGGCCAAGCCGCGCTCCCTGCGCTTCACGTGGAGCATGAAGACCACGAGCTCCATGGAGCCCAACGAGATGATGCGGGAGATCCGCAAGGTGCTGGACGCAAACAGCTGCCAGAGCGAGCTGCACGAGAGGTACATGCTGCTGTGCATGCATGGCACGCCGGGCCACGAGAGCTTCGTGCAGTGGGAGATGGAGGTGTGCAAGCTGCCGCGGCTGTCCCTCAACGGCGTGCGATTCAAGCGGATATCGGGCACCTCCATGGCCTTCAAAAACATTGCTTCCAAAATAGCCAACGAGCTGAAGCTTTAACAGGCTGCCCGGCGCGGGGGCGATGGCCGGCCAGCTGGACTTAGCTGCTGGGGCCGGTGCCCCGCTGGGCCGACTGGCGCGCCGGGCCGGGCGTCTCCCCCTGCTGGCACTTCTCCCTCCCCGCCCCCTCCGGTTTTCTTCCGTGTTTGTGGGGGGTGGGAGGTGGTTCTTCCCACCCCACCCCCCTTTACCCCTGTCCAGAAATTCCCCCTTCTCCCCTCTCCCCCACAGGAGGCTAAAGAAGGGGAGGGGGTGGGGGGGCAGGGCTCCCCCTCGGTACTGCGGTTGCACAGAGTATTTCGCCTAAACCAAGAAATTTTTTATTACCAAAAAGAAAAAAGAAAAAAAAAATCCCAGCGACCACCTTTCCTCCCTGCCCCATCGGGACAGTCGAGACTGGATCTGTGGGGTTTCCCAGGAGGGTGGCTCAGGGCTGGAACACTCTCAGGCAAGAGTGGTGGAGTTCCCTGCCAGGCCCTCCGCCAGGCCCACTTTGGGCTTCTCCCCTCTCCTTCCCCTCCCCTCCCAGCAAACCTCCAGAGGTGGCCTTCCCCTGACCTCAGGCTCCCGGGCAGGAGGCCTGTGCGGCGGGGGGCTGGGGCGGGGGTGCTGCCGGCCCTGAGACGGGTGGGCTGGCGGCCGCTGGCGAGGGGCTCCAGCCTCCCTCCACACTGTATCCTCGGCTCCGCCTTTCCCAGAGCTGGGCATTTCCTTCCACAAGCTGCTGTGGGGACTTTTGTTCCCCTCCTCAAAAGTCTGTGCCATCTTCTCTCACCCCTCCCGGCGAAGGCAGGGCTGACCCCAGGGCTGGGAGCCGGGAGGCGACGCTGGGCAGATGGGCTCCTCGGCCCCCAGGGGGCTGCCAGGGCTGCTCGTCTCCGGAACTGCTGGGCATCTCCGTTCTGGGAGAGCCTTTGTCTGAAAGCACAGCCCCCTCGCCGCCGCACCTTCCCCTCGGCTCCCCTTCATTGGCATTAATCTGGGCACCAGCTAGTTCCTGAGCAGTGACTTCCCTCCCCACTCATCTCTGGCCTGGCCTTTCCTCCTCTCAGGAGACACCCGCCCAGGCCTCCATGGCCACCTGGCGGGAGGCCGCGGGGGGGGGGGGGGGCAGCCAGGCCCCTCCACAGGGTGGGGTCAGAGGCCAAGTGACTCCCAGCTCGCTACCCTCTGCAGCCAGTGTGGGAGTGGCCGGTTATGGACGCTTGGCTGGTGGCGGCCGCTGCATCCCTTAATTTATTTCTCTGCTGTTTCTGTTCTTGAGAAATTGGGGGAGGGGGCCCCGCACAGAGGCTGCCTCTACCCTCACCTGAGTTGTACATTTTTTGTGATGGGTTTTATTTTTTATTTTATTATTTTATTATTTTTTTTTTTTTGATTTATGATGACTCCACCCCTACTCATCACCCCCCTCCCAGGCCAGGCTCCGCGCAAGTCGAGCCCTTGGGTCCCAGGAAGGGGCCTCGCCAACCTCAGCCCTCCTGCCCCAAGCCCCGACTGCGGGCTCCGGCTCTGACCAAGGGCTCCCTCCCTCCTTCCCTGCTCCTGCCCTATGGAACAGCCCGGGTGCTCGAGGGGCCAGGAGGGCATGGCTTGACTCCCAGAGGGGGTGGCAGCCCGGGGGCCTCCCAGGCTAGGTGGCCCCTCCCCACCCAGCCCCCCCTCCTGCACTTAGTTTCTCCTCTGGATCAAACACGTAATAAAGAGAATGTTTGGAATCTGAGCTGCCTCCTCCTGTTTCTTCTCCCAACCTGGCAAGGACCCAGTCCCAGTGGGCAAGATGTAGTCCAGCCCGCCTGCCTGCGGGGCAGGAGGCAACTGACTCCTGTCTGGGACCTGGGGGAGAGGCCACGGCAGGCCTCTCGCACCTTCAGGGCACAGACAGGAAGCAGAGCCCAGGGCCCTTTCACCCACCGGGAAAGAGGACTCTGTGAACGTGAAAGGTTTTATTTGTTTATTTTTTAAAAACATTGAAAAATAAACCCATGTCTGCATATGTCCCAGCCCTTTCAGCTTTTGGGCAGTGGGCATTGTGGGCGCCCTCAGAGCCCCTTCGATCTTCCCCTAGGCCCCTGAAGACAGAAGCACTGCTGCCCTCCAGTGACGCTGCAGTCAGGCCCTCGAGGAAACTGCCCACCTCCCCCCTTAAGCCCCCTCCCCACCTCCCCCTAGACTTATTGCTAAAAGAAGGGAAAGAGGAAGAACAGCCAGCCCACCATACTGTCCTCTCCCGCCACCCAAGCTACAGTCGCTACCCCCCTACACGAAGGGCCTGACCTCCAGCACTGGGCCTGGAGGCCGAGCCCCAGCAGACTAGGGGGGCAGCCAACCCTTCCAGGCCAGGAAGAGAAAGTACCCTCTGGCTGGCCCAGAGGCCCCTGAGTCCCAGCCCCTGGCTGGGGTGGGGGTGGAGATGGGCTCGGCTGCCAGAAACAGCCCACGGGTCCAGGCTGTGCCTGTCGGCAGCTCCAGGTCTTCGAAGACCTGGCAGGAGCATTAGTTCCTTCTGTCTGAAGCCAGAGGCGCCCGAGGACATGCAGCAAAGGGGTTCTGGAGCCTCAGGGCTCAGAGTGAGGGTGCTGGAGGCTCCAGAGAAGCACCAATCAGGGTGGGTGGGGGCTGAGGGCCGGGGCGGGCGCTGTGGCGGGAGGCAGCCAGAGCGGGGCGGATGAGAGGAGGAGGGGGCTGGTTGGGGGCCAGCCGAGGCTGGAGGAAGCGGCCCTGCTGCAGTGGGGGCGGCTGTCGAAGCAAAGTGGGAGCTGTGGGCAGAGGTGGCCTCAGCAGTGGGGGGGGCTGAGACAGCGAAGCGGGAGGTGGAGGAGGGGGTGGCGCGGGGGGCACCGCTCGGGGCACTGACGTCGAGACAGAAGTGATCTGGACCTGGAGGAGAGAGGAGTGAGAAACCAGGCGCCTTGGCACCCTCGGCCCAGTCTAAGGACAGGGCGGCTCCTCTCCCCGCTCACCTCATCGTCTTCCTCTAAGGCTGGGGCCGGCAAGGGAGCCCCTCTCCTAGCCTCCTCGGGCACGGGGGCGCCCGGAGCCCCATCCTGCTCGGCCTCCCATTCCTGCAGCACCTCCTCCAGATTGAAGCGACGCCGGTAGCTCACAAAGAAGGTCTTCACCTGCGTCAGAGTCTTGTTCCCAATCACCTCTGCAATAGCCCCAAAGTCCTTGCCATACCTACGGATGGCTGCAAGGGTCAAGAGGGGAGCAGAGTGTGAACATTCTCTCGGGAGCAGTGACCTCTCTGACCAGCTCCTCGGAGAGTGGGGGTGGATTCCTGGGGCCCTCCTCCCTATCGTCAAACCCACCTTGCACAGCCAAAAGCTGCTCATCCGTGGTCCAGCGGGAATTGAACTTGGTGTTGGCCTGGAGAGCAAGGGATGGAGCCTTTAGACTCCAAAGCTGGGACATGGAGGCCCTGTTCTCTAAGCAGAAGTCCCTTTTCTTCGGAAAAACCCCCTCATGCACCCAAACTTGAGAGCAGCCTTACCTCAGGGGGGCGTAGCGGATCGATGCCGCCCTCCAGGGCTTGACGGAGGCTGCTATTGGTCTGCTTCATGCTCTGCACCTGGGGAGGCCCGGGTCAGGAAGGTGTCATCAAGCTCGCCAACCTGGTTGGTTGGTGGTACCAACCCCTGCTCCTGCAGACAAGGGGCCCACTTCCCAACAAAGCCTCTGTCCCCGCCCAGTCTCGCCCATCCCTCCTGCACAGCCTCTCAGGAAGGGAGAGGCTGCACTTCGCCTCTTCAAGAGGAATTTTAAAGGTTGGTTAAGTTTGTTTTTTTTTTTAAAGATTTACCCATTTATGCATACATGAGCTGGGGCACAGGCCAGAGGCGCGGGGCGGTGAGTGGATCCACCAGAGACAGAGCAGGGAACAGAACAGGCAGACTGACTGAAATACACTGCTGAGGGGAGCAGCGGGCGAGACAGGAGAGGTCCGCCTCACCATGTGGGTTGCTCCCTGGCAGGCCAGGGATCGAACTCATGCTGTAGAGGCTGCAGACTGCCTCAGTGCGGTGCTTAACCCCTTCTGCCACCAGGGAGGCCCAAGGCTGGTTAACTTTTAAAAGTTACCCAGAGGATGGAGCGGGGGCAAGCCAGGTACCTGCATCATCTCCCTCACCCTAAGGCTGTCCCCCAAATGTAGCCCCTCTGCAAGGCCCCGTCTTTTCTGAGACCCCACCTGGCGCTTGAGGGAGATGAGCTGGGAGTCAAGGCCTCGAAGCGTGAGGTTGGCCAGGTCCGGGCTTCCTGACACAGCAGTGAGACCCTCAGGGCTCAGGTACATGCCCTTGGGTGGGCGCCGCCGGGTTCGCAGTGGGTGGTGGCGGTACTGAGACCCCTGGGCCTCCTTCTTCCCGGGGCCTGGGCGGGCATTCAGGGGCCGAGAAGAGGGCAGAGGCTGCCAGGGAAAGGAGAGAAGGTGGGTGGCTCAGAGCCCAAGGAGAGGACAGGTGGATGGGCAGGGCCAGGCCAGCTCTAGTACTCACCTCTCTTTTGGGGTCTCCAGCATCTGGCTCTCCCTCACTCACAGCTCCTCGTCCTTCTTCAAGCTCATCGCTGCTGACACAAGGGACAGGGAGGGGGTGAAGCCAGGGCCGGGGCTCCCCAAGGGCTCTTCTGACCCCACCCACCTGTCCCCGGACCTCCACCTGTCTTCTTTGTCCTTGCGGCCCCCCAGCCGCCGGGCCTGTCTGTCCATCACACTGGTTCGGCTACGGGTCTTCTTCCAAGAGTAGTAATACTTCACCAGGCTGGGGATCAGCTTGTCAGGCAGCTGGAGGGGCAACACCAGAGGCTGGGGCCCCCCAAGAGTCTGATCCCAGGGCAGGCTGGTGAGAAAGGAGGGGCTCAGGTGCGCAGGCAGGGGTGCAGGAGCTTTACCATCTGCTGGATCCGCTGGAAGCACTTGCCATGGAAGCCAAAGGCCTGTTCAAACAGCACCTTGTCCTCTACCGTCCACTCATCCGGGAACGGGGTGAAGTTGGCCAGGTCAGCCAGTGACTTCTCCACGTCATGCTTATGCCACAGGAGCATGCCCAGTGCCTGGCGCAGGACAGATGCCAACTCAGGCCAGGCTGCCCCCTGCACAGGTCCAACCCAGCCCCCCTTCCGAGTCTGCAGGCCCAGGCTCACCTGCTCGATGTTGTAGCCATGCTTCTCCTTGGCCATCGCAATGTACTTGTCAACTGCAGGGGCGGGAGGGCCGGGTTATGGAGGAGGGGGTCTCAGCTCCTAAGCTAGGCCTGCCCCCCCCCCACTTCTGAGGAGAGCTGGCCATGGGCCGACAGGAGCCCCAGCCCCCAGGGACCTGCCCCAGGCCCCACTCACGCTTGGCGTCAGACACGCAGTGGTTGGGCGACCACACCAGCATCCCCTTCAGCTCCTTGTTGCTGTAGCGGGCAGGGCTCTCTGAGAGGCAGAGCACACCGGGCAGAGGCTCAGACCAGCCGGGTGGCGCTGGCAGGACCCAGGGCCAGAGGGAGGCTGGGGAGTGGGGCCTCCGAGGTGAGGGGAAGGAGGGGCAGCGACCCAGACAGGAAGGCAGAGCAGGAAAACTAACCAGGCCACGGGGCCACCCACCCCCGCCCACCGGCCTGTGCTTCCAGTGGGCGCCAGCCAAGGGCTCCCCCAGGTGGGGCTCGGGGCCAAGCGTGGGCCCTCTGCTCCCCTCCCTTCGCAGCCTGTCCTGCCACTCACCAGGCTTGCACTCCGGAATTACGGCCTGGTAATTGGTTCCAACGCGGATCATGCTGTCTGTGGAGCCAGGGGAGGCCGTCAGGACTCCGGGGAGGGAGGGAGCCGGGGGATGCGGCGGGGAGGGGCGCCTGGAGTTCTCCCTCCTGCCCGCCCAGGGCCGCCCCCCTCCCCAGGCTCACTTTTCCCAGATCTTCCCCTCAGTTCCCCCCACTTCTTCCCCCAGTTCCCCTCGCCCCAGAGGGAACTGGAGAGGGACCCTGCCTAGTCACAGCCCCGGGGTGGGGGAGGGCAGGGGCCACGCGGGGAGCCCAGGTCAAGCCGGGCCCTTTGTTCTGGCAGGGGGGCGAGGGGGCGGGGGCTGGGGGGCTGCCCCGGGCCCTGGACCTCGGCCCCGCGGGGATGCGAGGCTCCTCCCCGCCACATGAGCCGCGCCGCGCCGCCCGCAGCACCTTTCCAGCCCCCGCCCCGGCCAGACCCCGGTCCCCGCAAGGTGGCAAGGTACGGGGGGCCCCGCCTGCGGGCGGGGAGGTCGCCCGAGCCCCTCGGCGGCTGAGGGCAGGGCGGGGGCGGGCTGCACCGCCTCCTCGGCACCTAGGGGCCCAGCCTCCAGATTCCCGGGGCCGGCAGCCCCGGGCTCGCGAGAGACGCAGGGAAGGGGCTCGGGTCCCGGCCGGGGCCGCCGGAGCCCGCGGCGCGACGCGCGAGGCCGGCCACGCTGCCCGCCCGCGCCCCCGGGCCGTGCGCCCGCGCCCGCCGCGCTCACCGTGCGAGTGCTCCTCCTCGCTGCTGTCATCCTCCGAGTGCGGCTGGCCGCCGTTGGGCGCCGTCTTGGCCCGGCTGCGGGACAGGATTCCGGAGCCCGCGCCCGGCTTCTCCATCACCGAGGGCATCACCCCGCCCCGCCGCCCCGGGGGGCGCGGGAGCCTCGGGAGAGCCGCGGGGCTGGCCGCGCTCGCCTCGCGCGCCGCGCCCGGCCCGGCCTGGAGGGGTCGCCACTGAGGCCGCGGAGGCGGGAGGTCAGCGTGGCCGGGGTCCGCGCGGCGGGAGCCCCGCGGGCAGCCCCGCGCTCCCCGCGACCCCCGCGGGCGCGGGCGTCAGAAAAGTTTGTGCAGAAGTGGGGGACGGGGGGGACGCGCGCCGGGTCCGGAGCGGCTGGGGCGCGCTCGCTCTGGACGCTCCCCCGGGTTGGGGCTCCCCGGGAGAAGTCGGGGCGCCCTGCCCTCGGGGCGCCCCGGAGCCCCACCGCCCTCCTTGGCCCCGCGCAGCTCAGAGGGCGGGCGCCGCGGCGCGGGGGGCGCCCCGCGGGCTCCGCGCCCCTCGGCGGCCCCGGGACGCCCCACTCCCGCGGCGGGGACCCCCGTCCCGGCCGGACCCCGGCCCGCGACGGCAGCCGGCGGCGGCGGCGGGACGGCGCGCACGGCGCGCGGCTGGGCAGGGCGGCCGGGAGGCGGGCGCAGCGCGGCCGCGGGCGCCGCCTCGCACCCTCCCCGGCGCGCTCGCGGTCCCCGGCGCGCTCGGGCAGCGCCGCTCGCCGCCCGCTCTCCGCCGCCGCTCGCTCCTCGCGCACACAATGAAGCTGCTGGCAGGGAAGTAGTGCCGGCTGCGGCCTCAGCACCCCTCCCCCAGCCGATGCCTCCGCCAGCTGAACATCTGGCCCTGGGGTGGGGGGGAGGGCCCGGGGGCGGGGCCTGGGGGCCGGGGCCAGACCTCCAGGGGGTGGGGTCAGGGCCGGGGAGGAGAGCCCCGGGCTCGGCCGGCCCCCCGACCCGGCTCCCGGGCTGGGCCCCGGGGAGACCCCGGCCGCCCCCCAGGAGGACCCCGGGTCGGCCCCACCCGCGCGCGCGCCGGCCCCGCACGCCCGCGGGCTCGGGTGGCGGCCGCCTGCCCCGGGGCCCCGAGGCCGCCCGCCCGCCCGCCCGGGTGGAGCCCAGCTTTTCCTTCCATTTCCCTTCCTGCCAAGGAACTCCCCGCCCCCCCTTCCGCAGGGGGGACCCCCCTTCGGGCGCCCTTGGGGGCCAGAGCGGATGGGAGGCCGGACAGGCCAGGGATGGGTTCCTCCCGGGCTCCGGGCCCAGCCGAGCTGCCGGTGCATGTGCGGGTCCCCAGGGGTCACCCCATCCCATTCAGTGCTGCAGTGCACACCCCGAAAACAGTGGCAGAAGGGACTGCGGGATGGGGAGTAGGCGGTGCAGGGAGAGGTCTGGGCTGCAGGGAGAGGGAGGGGCCGGGTCTCCTCCCCACCGCGTTCTCTGTCACCCCAGCTGGGCGCAGCACCCCCTCCCCCAGGACAAGCTCGGGCAGAGTGACAGACAGGGGAGCGGGGAGCGCGGCACAGACGGAGCTGGGGGAGGGGGTGGGCAGAGACTTCCAGAGCCAGACCCAGCCACCCTGCCAGGCGCACAAAGAGGCCGCGCGCACACCGGCGGGGCCCGGAGCCCGCGGGCTGCGCCCGAGCCCGTCCCGCCGCCGGGACACGTGCTGCGCCGCACACACGCGGGCCCGCCGGGCCCCTCCCGCGCGCCCCGGCCCCAGACACACCTCCACCCGGGCGCACCCCGCGGTGCCCGGACGGAGCCGAGCCTGCAGCGGCCTCCTCGCCCTTCCCTCCCGGCCACTCTGTAATCAGATTCCTAAATTTAGAAGCAACCCCGGCCCGGCCAGGGATCCCCGCCCCCACCCGCTGCCTGCGGCCGGCCGGCCGGGGTCCTGCGGTCCGGCCGCGGCCCGGCGGGGGCCGCCCGCTCCTGGGGGCGCCAGCGGTGACCGGAGAACGTCAGGCGTGTCCCCACCCGGCTGCGGCGCAGTCGGGCCGCACGGGGCCACCCTGGGGCCACCCAGCTCTCCCCGGCCACGTTGCCCGGCCACACCTCCGGCTGGAGCTTAGGGGCCTTTTTCCTGCTGTTAAATCGTGGCCTGGGCACTGAGCCCCAGGGTGGGGAGGTCTGCGCAGGGCAGAATGAATGGGTCAGGTAGGCCTGCGCCAAGGGGGTCTGCTGCACGATGAAAAGAACCTCCCAGCGACCCCTCCAGGGGGGCAGGGTGCCATCTCCACCCACAGCACCTCCAGCGTAGGGAGGCTCGCCCCTCGGTCCCCTCCTGCCTGGCCGGCAGCCATCGCTGCACACAGCCCTCCTACGATGGCGTCTTCCATCTTGCCCACACTGGCCTCCCATTAGGCAGGGCCTGAGTTGGGGCCCCCACCCACCGACTGGCCTTGCCTCCGGTCCTGCTCCTTACCTAAGGGTCCCCGGCCCAGCCCCTGGCTCCCACACCCAGGCTCAGCATCCGGCTTAGGCTGCCTCCCTTCTCCAGGGCTGCCCCAGGTACCCCCAGCCACTGGCATCCCTCCTTCCCCAGAACCCCTCCCCCCCCAGAACCTAATTCTGCTCTCACTTCTCCCTGGAGCCCGGAGCTCAGGGCCAGAGGAAGATTCCGCTCTGGAGGTGGGGGCAGGGAAGGGAGATTTATTCTTTGGAGTTGGCGGCTTGGGGTGGGGAAAGAGTCACCAGGCCTGGTGTGTTGAGGCTTCTGCCCAGGAGGTGGGACATGGGAGGGGTACCCTGGGAGTTTGGGGGTGACTGTGGGGGCCAGAGTGTCCTGAGAGGAGGTACATTCCTTAGAGCAAACCCCCCTCCCCAGGAGGCATTGGCTGGAGGTGAGTGGGGGAGGGGCAAGGCCCCACCCTCCCACCTGCTGCAGCCCACCCCTCCCCAGCTGGCCCCCTCTTTTGTGCAAAGCCACACAAAGGACAAGGGCCCCGGCCGGCCTGGCCATCTGCTCCCAGCAGCCTGGAGGCTCTTAAAGAGACAGCACCCCCTCCCTGCCGCCCTGGGGCTGTGGGGTGGGGGTGGAGCTGCAGCTCAGGACGTGGTTTCAGCGGTCCCCAAATACCACCCACTTTTCCCTGACTCCCCAGCTCCCAAGTCAGGAATCATCTTCCCCCAGGCTGGGGTAGCAGAGGTGCCACGTGGCCTAGAAGGTGGGGTGTGGGAGGGGAGAGGAGCAGAGGCAGCCTGGGGACCAGCCCCCCTCTCCTCCAGGCTCCGGCGGCCTGGGGCCAGTGAAGGCCGGCAGGGGCACCGGCACTGGGGTTCCTCACCACCCTGCAGCCACCCCCGTGCTGGGAAAGCTCCTGGTCCTGGAAGGCTCTCCCCGCCATTTTCAGATGCGCTCCCACTCACCCTTGCACAGGGAGGATGACAGCGCCTGCTTTGTGAGGGCTGCAGGCCAGGAGGCAGGCTGTCTTGCCGTCACCTCCTGGTGGGGCACATTTGTGTCCTGCGTTTTCCAGTTGAAGAAACTGAGGCTTTGCCCGCTCCCCTGCCTCCAGAACCTGCCTCCCCCCCAGGCCACAGAGGAGATCCCGAGGGGGCCCAGCCAAATCCCCACGCAGTGCCTTTGCCACACTGCTGGGGACACAAGTTTACACGACTGTGTGATTGTTTACTTCTGGTCTGTGGCCCGCCGGGCTGCACGCAGGCATTGTGTCCATCGCGGGATTCCCAAGGCCCAGGTATACAGTAGGCACTAAATATCTGCCCACTCGATAAGTGCCAGGAGCACTAGAGCCTTTCTCTTCCCTGGACGCCTCTGTCCTCTGGCTTGTGGGCATCTGGCCTCCTCTCTCCTCAAGGTGAGGCAGAAGGGACAAAGGTTGAGCAGGGATGCTGGGAAAGAAAAGAAGGGTGACCTTGAGCTGAGTGAACCACCGGGCCTCCCCTCACGCCTCCCTCCTCCCAAAGGCGGGGGCAGCTCCAGCCAATCCTGAACCCGCAGCCCTGCCAGACAGACTGGGACTGTCCCGGGCTCCGGCCGGCCTGGCCGCTGCGGTGTGGTGCTTGGGACCCTGGCCAGGCCCTCCGTGGCCACAGCCCAGGGGCTACGCTTGGGGAGGGCGGCAGGCAGGCCGGGCCCAGGCCCTGGGGTGGGGAGGGGGTTAGATGGATCTAAAGAGAAACCTGGGTGAGCAATGGGGTGGGGGGAGTTGGGTGGCGGCGCTCCCCTGGACTAGAGAAGGTGGGTACAGCTTGAAAGGAGCATGGGGAGCTCCCTCCAGGGCCCCCACCCCCTCAATCCTGCCCAGACAGGAATTTGACTCCTCCCGCCCGCCTGCCAAACCCCTGGGGCCCGCTGGCAGGCTGTGTGGCCCTGGGCGCCACCCCCCTCGTGGGGCCCAGTTAGTAAGCCCTTGGCCTGGCCGGCACCACCACCCGGCGCTGTGAAGAGGCTGAGGGAAGGTGACAGAGGTGACAATCCGGTGCTTGGCACCGCCTCGGTGCGGTGGGCGCGGGAGGAGGGGGCTGAAGGAGGTGAGGCAAGCACATCTGTAAGTGGCGCTGGGGGAGGGCAGCGCAGAACCAGGTGGGAGGTCACCCAGGAGACCCCAGGCTTCCTGACACCCCCGCTGAGGAAATCTGACTCCCTGAGCAAAGCGGGAACTGGGGAGGAAGGGTCAGCAAGACTCAGCTGAGAGACACCCGAGAAGGTGACGGGGGCTCCCCTGGAGGCGGCTTCCAGACCCAGGAGCCTGCTGGGTTCTGCAGGAAGCCTGGAAGGGGCCCCCCACCCGGCCCTCACCTGGGCGGCAACGGCGCCCTCTGGTGGTGACAGCCTGGAGGGGCTGGGTGGGTCCCACCTCTCCCCAGCCACCTTAGTCCTCCCCAGGCGGCTGAGCCTGGTACCTCCTGGGGTGCCGTTCTTCTGGGAGAAGTGCATGGGGTCAGGCCCCCCCTGGGTCATTTGGAGTTACCGAGCTTTAGAGCCAATCACCAGCAAGTCTCTTTGGCTCAGAGCCACCTGGAACCTCCCAGAACAGTCAGGTGGAACAGAAACCCCTAGAGAAACAGAGGAGACACAGGAGCAGCAGGAAAAGGACAGGACCCGCGCTGGCCAAGGACCTCACACCCAGGGAAGTCCCGGTTCTTTT